AATATTAAATGATCCAGCAAGTATCAAAAGAAGATGGAAGGAGTACACAGAGTCACTGTATCAGAAGGAATCGGCTGACACAGAGGAATTTAATGAAATAACATATGAGCAAGAACCTATGGTGATGAAGGAGGAAGTTCAAGTTGCTAACTGGCAAAAAACAAGGCTCCGGGAGTTGACAGGATACCAATTGATTTTTTTCAACAAACAGACGCTACCCTGGATGTGCTCACTAAGTTGTGCCAGGAAATCTGGAGGAGAGTCAGCTGGCCAACTGACTGGAAGAGATCGATACTTGTTCCCATTCCAAAGAAAGGTGACCCACCAGAGTGTGGAAATTATCGAACAATATCACTGATATCACATGCAAGCAAGATTCTGCTGAAAATAATCCAAAAACGTTTGGAACAATATGTCAACAGAGAACTGCCAGATGTGCAGGCTGGATTTAGAAGAGGTTGTGGTACTAGGGATATTATAGCTAACATTAGATGGATCTTGGCAGAAAGCAAAGAATACCAAAAAAAAATGTCTATCTGTGCTTCATTGACTATGCAAAGGCTTTTGACTGTGTGGATCACAACAAGCTGAGGCTGACTCTGAGAAGAATGGGAATCCTAGAACACTTGATTGTGCTAATGCAAAACCTATACTTGGACCAAGAGGCAGTCATAAGAAAAGATCTGGGAGACACTGGATGGTTTAAAAATCAAGAAAGGGGTCCATCCGAGACACTGGGCTGTACTAGCAGGAATGTGGCATCAGGATTGGTGAAAGAATCATCAACAACCTGCTTGCTGAAACTGAGGAAGACCCGAAGTGCTTGCTGCAGAAGGTCAAGAACTGCAGTCTTCAATATGGACTGAAGCTCAACATCAAGAAAACAAAGATTCTCACCACTGAGCCAATTGGCAGCATCAGTATGGATGGTGAAGAGATTGAGATAGTTAACAGTTTTAGTTTGCTTGGTTCCACAGTCAGCGCTCTTGGTAACAGCAGAAAGGAAATTAGGAGATGAATTGCACTGGGAAAGTCAGCTGTTAAGGGACCTCTCAAGAGTACTGAAGAGCAATGACGTCAGGCTGGAGACTAAGGTGCGCCTGATACAGGCTATTGTCTTTGCAATTACGTGCTATGCATCAGAGAGTTGGACAGTGAATAGGCATGACAGAAAGAGAATTGATGCCTTTGAGCTGCGGTGCTGGAGAAGAGTGTTGAATATACCATGGACTGCTAGAAGAACAAACAGGTTTGTCCTGGAGAGGGTGAATCCTGAATGCTCCTTGGAGTCAAGGATTCTGAAGCTTTGTCTGACATACTTTGGGCATGTTGCAAAGAGGTCCTTGGAGAGGGACATCATGTTTGGGAGAGTGAAGGGGCAGCACAGGAGAGGAAGACCCTCAATGAGATGGATCGATTCTGTGAATGGAGTGGTGGGAATAAGTGTGTTTGAGATGGCAAGGTTGGCACAGGAGAGAACAGCATTTAGGGCTTTGTACATAGGATCACTATGAGTAGCAAGTGACTCGATGGCACATAACAACAAACAACAACATGATGCCTAGTGGTAAGAAGCTATGCTGCAATCCTGAAGGCACATGGTTTAAATTCACCAACTGTTCCACAGGAGAAGGATGGGCATTCTCTTCCCATGTGATTTACTGCCACTGAAAACCCACAGGAATGTCAGCTAGGAGTTGATTCCAACTTGATGTCACGCAACATCACCCCCTTCCTTTTAAAGGGAGCTCTGGTGGCCTAGTGGTAAGGGGTTGAGTTCTAGATCAAAGGCATGCGGTTCAAATCCACCACCTGCTCAGTTAGAGAAAGATGAGAAATCTCTTCCCATGCTTATTTATAGCCTCTGAAAACATGCTAGAGGGTTGGTTATGAGTTGGTTCTGACTGGGCTGTACATAATAAAAACAACAAGCCCTGTTTAATTAGGTTTGTCTCTCCTGATTGATTCAAGGTTAGTCAATAATCAGGGAATTTAGGTAATATAATAGATATATTTTGTGAGAAATCTGTTTATCAATAAGTACACACTTAAAACAGCAGTCTGGTTGTCAAAGGCCATTGTCAGCATTCATTCAGAAAAACTATTTTCCCCAAAAGTACTAAAAAATAAACTATTAATTATATAAAATATAATGTATATTAGTAATTGTATAATACACACAATACATGTACAAATCATGATTTATATGAGTGATCATATATAAACCAATAAAATAAATATGAAAAAAGTGTTGCTTTATAAAATATATTTACTTGATGCCAGAGTATACTGTAAGACATCTTAAAAAAGAAACTTTATAGGATTTTTGCTTGTTCTTTTAAAGAAACAAGTATTTCTAATTTAAGGAAGAGAGGTGTTTATATTTTATATGCCAAATGCCTTACTTTACTTATGAAAAACAGACTTGAAAATGATGAGTCACAATTATCAGGAGAGTTTTTTATCTTCAAAGTATTCTAACTATGTTTCTTTCCCATTAGGTTATTCTTGGTTTCTGAGAGTGGGACAAAGAACAAACTGTCCCAATCCACAGACTGTTCCAAATGGAGATTGGATGCTTATGAACTCTGATCCCAGGCCTGGAAAAAAATAGAGCTACAGTGTCAAAGCAGACTGCGCTGACGTATCAACGGAGAGAAATGTTATAAACTTGTGGTAGGAATAAAAAAAAGAAACAGTCATTTCTAGGAGGAAAATTTTCCTTAGGGAAATCACTGAAATGAAAACACTTCTAGAACTTCCTAATTTTAAAACTATGTCTTCAGTGCCTTTCAAACATAAATAAAAGCATTTTTTTAAATGCACATGTTTAAAGAATTCAGAAGTATATTATATGTTCATACACGGTTGATTCGCCCCCGCCACCCTCCCCCACCTGGTATAGAAAGTTATTCTCTTTTTCAAAACTTTATTTTTAAATTTAGTTTCCTGGTAAGATCAAGATATGCTTTGTTGTAATGTGCCCTTGAGTCAGAACTAACTCAGAGCTGAATCTCCACTGGATTGGTTTCAGAGGCAGTAAACTACATGGGAAGAGACTGTCCATCTTTCTCCCCCAAAGCAACTGGGAGATTTGAACTACATGCCTTTGGGGTGGCAACATAGCTCCTTACCAACCAGGTCACCAAAGCCCTTTCAAGATAGGAATTAGAAGAACTTAAAAGAAGAATTGATGCCTTTGTGATGCTGGAGAAGAATAATGAATATAATATGGACTCCTAGGAGAACTAATAGGTTCATCCTGTTGTTGTGGTGTTGTTATGTGCCGTCGAGTCGCTTCCAACTCATAGCAACCCTATGCACAACAGCCCTAAACTCTGCTCTGTCCTGTACCAATCGCACTGTCTCCGACACTCCCATGCCGATTATCCCAGTCACTGAATCAATCCACCTCATAGAGGGCCTTCCCATCCTAGAGAGGGTGAAACCAGGCTGTTCCTTGAAGGTAAGGATTCTGACGCTTTGTCTAACATATTTTGGGCAAGTTGCAAGGAGGGACCAGTCCTTGGAGAAGGACATCACTCTTGGAAAAGTGGAGGGACAGCATAAGAGAGGTAGATGCTGGATGAGATGAATTGACTCAGTAACTGGGGTAATGGGGGTAGGTGTTTCAGAGACAATGAAGTTGGCTCAAGATAGAGCTGGTTTCAGAACTGCTATACTTAGGGTAGCTATGAGTTGTGAGCAACTCGATGGCACATAACAACAACAGCATACATATATATTGCTGTAGACACACACACACACACACATATGTGTGTGTACATATGTGAACAGAAAATAACAATGCATATGTTAATATGCATTAATATTATATATAAAAAGATATATTAATATATATACTATATATTAATATATATATGAGAATAGCAAGAACAAGAGATACAGGAAGAGTATGAAGATAATACTTATGATGATGAAGATGATGATGATAGCAGCAGACATTATTGCTTGTTATAATGTCCATATATTAATCCTAATCTTGGTTCTATAATCTTGGCAGTACTTACATTTTAGGCCAGATAGCTCTGTTGTTGGCGATATCCTGTGGATGTTGCTAGACACTCTTCACATCTATTCATCAGAAGTAAACAGTATTTCCCCAGTTTCAACAAGATGTGTCCCATAGCCCAAACCTAATCTACTGCTGTCTAACCAATTCCAACTCACGGTTACTCCCCATTGGGTTTCCAAGGCTGTAAAGCCTTGTGAAAGACTGCCCATCATTTCCCCAAAGAGCAGCTAATGGATCCAAACATCAGTCTTTTGGTAAGCAACTCAATTCGTAACATCTTATAGCACTAGGGCACCTTAAAGATGCCTCCAGACTAAACATACCGGAGTCAGGCAGGGGAGGCCAACTCACCCCTGGTTGAAAAGTTCTGTCTAAATGCTTTATATGCATTATTTCACTAAAACCTGGCATTCACTCTATGAAGCTGTTAGTGGCCATCAAATTGATTTTGACTTTGACAACCCTACATGTGCAGAGCAGAACTGTTCCACAGCCTTCCAACTCTGACCTTGAAGAAGCTGATCATTAAGACTGTCTTCCAAGGCACCTCTGGGGAGTTCAAACAACCAACATTCTGGTTAATAGTCAAGCACTTAACCACTCTATGAAAGAGATGGATATCTCTCTCCACTTTACAGATACTAAAATAGGAGGGGATTATTAACTTGTTTAATATCGTAGGGAGGAAGTAATATAGTCAGCTCTCAATCATGAGAATATATTGGATTATGTGGAGAAACGTACACAAGGAGAGTGGAGACACTTCCTGTGTTTCAGAATTAGCCAGAAAGTAGAAACCAGGTGAAAATATTGGCAACCTTTGAAATGTAATGCAAGCATATCGAAGACAATCACTTACAAGTAATATATTTAATACTGAGTACCAGCAGAGCAATACTAAATGTTTATTTAACAGAAGTTTTAGTTCATAGAATTAATTTTTTTTTCTCTTTTGAAGACTTACGGTCCACAGGGAGTTGTTTGTGTCTCTGGCTGTCTCTCATGATGCTGCCACCACTGTCACTGGAGTTGCTGTTCTGACGAGTTACACTTGCCGGCACCTTTGACCCAGGAACAGGTGCTGGAGCAGAAGGTGGGAGGGGGACCGGAACTGGAGCTGGTGTTGGAGGAGGTGATGGAGCAGAGGGAGTATCAGTCGGCCTTGGGCCATACTCCATCCTTTGTTTCTATAAAAAGACAAGCAATTCATTTGAGAGTTTAGAAACATACTTAGGTTAGGAAAACAAACTGAACTTTGATAGGACATTGTTGGCTATGTATCTGTAAACTTTACAGACTTGGAGCAAATTGATGAATGTATATTATATATGTATGTGTATATGCAAATACATCTATGGGTGTACACATACACATATATGGATACATATACACATGCAGAGAGAAATACATTTACACACACATATCACCTGTATGCTGTATGTTGTTGTTTCTGGGTGCTGTCGAGTCAATTTTCAACTGACAGCAATCCCATCTGACAGAGAAGAATTGCTCTACAGCATTTTCTGGGTTGTAACCTTTAACGGCAGCACACAACCGCATCTTTATGCTGGGAAGTGTAATTATAACTAACAGTCATCTTTTAAATATTCCACCTATTTGTTTAAAGCAAAAGGTATAACTTGAGGAGTCATAAGGAGGCATCAACAATAAACAATAGTATCATAATCATTATAAAAATTAAGAAAAATTGAATTTAGAATATCTTATAAGACTTCGATAGACCAAAGGTAGAAAGATTATTTTATTATCTCTACTTTCTTTCTAATTCTTTCTAATTGCACTGAGAGTCTAAATGCCATATTGTATAGCATTATTTTACTGCTCATTTTAAATAGGTTCAAATGTTTTTAGTTGTCTCATTTTCATGTGATTAGTTAGGAGGAAGACAATATTCAAGTAGAAATGAGGGCTGTGCGTAAAGAAACAATTTTAAATGTCCTTAAGAGTATTTTTCAAGTTCTAGTCCTTTCAGCCATCATCTTGATACTTCCTAAACTAGAAATGTTTCTAATGTTTGGGGTGAGTAGTAGTGAAGGTAACAGGACGGCCTATAATTAAATGTTTACGACTACAACTCACAGACAGTAATTAATAAGTAGGCCTCGTGAAGATTTTTATTTTAACAAAGTAGGTGTGGTAAAATACAAAATGTTTTCTGTCAATAATAATTATTGTACTATTATAAAACAAAATTTATTTACAGTCTTCATTAAAATGCACTTCAAAACTGGCATTTCAAAGCTAACCAAACTTATTTTAATGTAGATAACTGCACTGTATTCGATTCCACATTATCAAAAGGCACATGTTCTTTGTATATCAAGGATACTGAGCAACAAACCTACAACTAGGGCTTTGAACCAGCTCCTGCTGGTCTGATATTCCCTTACCTCCCCATCCAATTTTAACGGTTTACCCTTGCACCTCAGATATACTGCAACGGAATCCTAATTGTTTTAACAATAACAATTACTTGAGGGTCTATATAAATGATAGATTGTGATTCAGTATATTTGGTGGAAATAGAAATGCAAATTCTCGGCAGGGATCTCACCAGAATGATCTTATTCTGTGCCCTGCTTACAACTAAAATAAGGTTTAGATACCGCACTGATACAATTTTAATTATTCCATAATTTAAAATCAGCACATAAAGTGTAAAGAGACAGCCTTTTGATAATCAGCTCCAAATTAGAACAGTATTTACTTTTAAGTCCTAAATTGGCCCAAATATAAGACAATATTGATTTTAAGAGAGCTTGCTCCCAATTTCCACAGAGATCAAAAACAAAAAAGTAAACACCACAAACACACCCCTTTAAATTTAATCATGGTTCAAAAAAACACCACATCAACCTTCATCACAGCTGCCTTCACAGCACATGATTAACACCTGTGGAAACCTGAGTGGGAAGAAGCCCTGGCTGTTTTCTGCTCTTTAAAGGCCACCATTCACCCACAAGTAGGGTGGAGAAGGAGAGGAAGGGGATTATGCAAAGATGGAAGGAGAACTGAAAGAGACATTTATAATCCTGCTGGGCCTTTGGAAGGGGTAGGGAGGGGAGGAAGGAGCGGGAGAAACTCCACAGAGCAAGCCAGGGAGTGAGATGGGGTAGAAATAGATTGTTAACTCCTCTGCACTGAAGGCCTATTTTTTAGTATCTTCTAGAATAATTAATGTTAACAACAATAACATTACTACTTATCATGCCCAGCATATCTTCCTATATTTGGGCCAATAAATATTTAAAGAAACCAAAATACAGCAAACATCACCAAACCTGTCATACTCAGCACACACCAAAGCCATCTCATGAATGCATATGCAATGCTCCCTTGCCAAGAATGCCCTCTGCACACAAATTCAGGGTGTGCAAGTAGGCTCTCACATTAGGATTCCAAAAGTGTCAGAGTTTAAATTATTATTTTTAAGGCATGAATAAATTTTTTTAAATGTCATAAGATCAACATTCCCTAAAATGATTCATATTCTCTGCTTCCATGAAAACAAGAACAGCCAGTGTTTTGCTATCCATCAAAAAAATTACTGTGAGAAACTATATACACTGTGTATGTTATTGTCACAATGAAGCCTGAAAGCATTGCACTCATCTGTCGTCGCTACAGAATGTTAACTATCAGTATGCCTTGACAAAACTATAGGCTTAGAAATGTAAATATTTGATTAAAGGACAAAATTATGAAAAATGTTTGTTAATTAGGACACATGCTGTATTTACTTGCTTATTTTCCCTTTTTTCTGTATTCTTTCCTCTCTTTTCTATGCTTACAACTCCTAAGGTATGAAAGGGGAGATATGGCCTTCCTCAAAATAATTGTAACCCCTTAATTACTGCTCTGAATAACTTTCCTGTGGAGACTAGTTGAAGGCTATTCTTGGTGTGGAAGAAACAAAATCAGCACTCACTTCTCAAAGCCTCCTCCCATCTCTGGCCTCACCTCAACCACTGGCTTCTTAATCACTATCTCTCAGCTCTTCACTCTAAGTACAACATTGACCTGTAAAATATCCTCAATTCCTGGAAAAGGCTACAGAGCATAAGTGTAAGCTGAACTTCCCTCTCCTATGTCAGAGATGCTGAAGTTCTAAAATTCTACATACGGAAATCCTGACCAATTCCTAACTGACATTTTCTGGATTTTCACACAGGAAGTTATATATGCTTAGAATCCCGCCAATTGCAGATACTGGGGCAACTTGCTACTCTTGTATATACCTACTTTTGTACCACTGGTCATTTCCTATACTTCCTAACTCCTTTCTGTTTTCTTCTACAAAAAACAGTGAAACCTAAGGGCTCTGGAACTTAACAGACTGCCTTGTTTTCCTGGGTTTCTCAAGTTTTCTGCCTTCCGACAGGATGCAGTTTTACCACTTTTCCATCACTTTCTATTGGTGCAAAATATTTTTTGTTTTTCTTCCCTGACAAATTCCTGTTTTACATAGGCTCTGGATTTTGCAATTTTAGTTTATACTTAAAGTTCTTTTCCAATAAGATTTTAAATTTAAAATAAAATGTTAAATTTTAAAACAAGATCTCTGAAAGATAACAGAATTAGTAAACGTGATTTCAAATTTCCCTTCATATCTAAGTGTGAATATTTGGGCTTTTTTTGTTTTGCTTTTTTTTTTTTTTAACAACTACAGCAGAAGTGGAATTCTTAGGGATTTAAAAAGTTATTGAGAGAGTAACTCCTGTTAGATGCAAAACACTGTTCCAGAGGGGAAATAATGCAAGGAAATTCAATGAAGTCATTAACATTGAACTGTTCTTAAAATCTTCCTACTATGGATTACAAAGGCCTCCCCTAAATTTGGTCTCTTTGGAGCTCTGCAGGACACAGCTGGAACATTTGGAGGATGTTAAGTCCAGAGATAAAACTAAAAAAATTATAAATCTGCCATGAGGAAACAAATGTGGATTACCTCTGATAGCTCACCAAGTAATTGCTACGGGAAAATGAAGCAAATCAAATCAAATGAGAAAATTAACATGAGAGATAGAACAAAAATAGTATCAATTATAATTCATGCCAAAAATCAGAAAACATGAGCAAATAAGGTTTTGACCGTAAAATTACCTGCTCACCGATCAATCACTATAGGAGCTTGTAAACATGTGCTTTATTTCCCTCACTCTTATCGAGCATAGAAAATACACATCGACAGAATAAACATGCAAAGTATTTCAACAATAACTATGTCTATATAAATGTTAAGTATTAAAAATATTGACATATACAGGTTCACTTTATTTTATTTATCAGAATGTATTAAAATGGATTTTACAAAAGGAAATATGCTAATATATCAAGGAGTGATATTAATGAGTTATAGCCTTTGATTTGTACACAGCCTACACATACACAACTGTGTAATGTTCATGTCAGTCAGTAATTTATTTCATATGCATTATACGTGTGTTGTTAAGTGCCATCAAGTCAAAATCACCTCACAGCTGACCCTCCAAGAGGTTTTCAGAGGCTGTAAATCACATGGGAGAAGACTGCTCATCTTTCTCCTAGGAAGCACCTGGGGGATTTGAACTGCCTACCTTTGAGTTGGCAGTGCAACTCTTTACCACTACAATACCAGTGCTCCCTCATTATAAAGTAGCCATCCTTGTCTAGTCGTGCCCCTAATTAAGAGACCAATAATCTTCTGAGACTATTTTTAACAAGGAATTCTAATGAGCTGATTATTATTAAAGAGTTTGGCGTGGATGAAATGAGTATGTTAGTATCTTTAGTAAAATGGTCACACTTTCCAACAGTCCCTCAATGATCTGGAATGAACTTGAAAATAAGAGCATTCATAACTGGGCTGAAGTGTAGAGCTCTAATGGATTTACATTATCTCTTTGAGGGGCCTCTCAAGAGTACTGAAGAGCAATGACGTCAGGCTGGAGACTAAGGTGAGCCTGATCTGGGCTATAGTTTTCGCAATTACATGTTATGCATCAGAGAATTCGACAGTGAATAGGGATGACAGAAGGAGAATTGATGCCTTTGAGCTGTGGTGCTGGAGAAGAGTGTTGAATACCATCGACAGCTAGGAGAACAAGCCAGTTTGTCCTGGAGAGGGTGAAGCTGGAATGCTCCTTGGAGTCAAGGATTTTGAAGCCTTGTCTGACATACTTTGGGC